TGCTTTCGAACTGCTAGGTTGGCAGGAGCAGGGACCGAGCAACAGAAGCTCACCCCATCGCGGGGATTCGAACTGCCGACCTTCTGATCGGCAAGTCCTAGGCTCTGTGGTTTAACCTACAGCACCACCCGCGTCCCCCTAAAGCATTAACTAGGCTTTTGGAAGGAGCAATGCCACAACCGCGGGTGAAAATGGGGGCAATGAAGGCAGAACCCCAGGAGCCTTTACAGAAATAGAATTGTAGAATTGGAAAGGGCCCTAGGGTCATCTAGTCCAACCCCCGGCGATGCAGGAATCTCAGCTAAAGCATCCATGGCAGGCGGCCATCCAAGCTTTGCCTAAAAACCTCCAAGGAAGGAGAGGGAACCGCCTCTACTGTCTTCCACTTTCTCCTACTGTCAGAAAGTTCTTTCTGATATTTCATCACAGGAACGCAAAAGCCCAAGTAACATTTTCAGCAAAGACTTCAGGCTGTTTTGTTTGGGCGACTGCCAAGTCCAGAAAAACCACAGAAAGGAAAAATGTGTGGGCCTGGGTTTCCCCGATCACATCAGTCCACTCGGTTACGCTAACTCGTCTCCGTATGGGATGAGTTGAAGGCGGGGACAGGAGGGGGGGGGAGTGTTGCTACCCCATCCCCGGTCACGTCTCTTTCCTCGCTGCAAAGTGGCTGTTGGATGGGGAATAGAAGGAAGGCTGCAATCCAACCAAGTAAGTCAGGGTCTTTTCCCATAACCGAATGTAGTGACGGGACAGGCGAGTCTGAATCTCCACGTGCTTTCGCGGTCTGGAGTGGGGGCCGAGGAAAAGCAAAAGCCCGTGGCTGTTTGCGACGAAGCTTGTCCCAGAGGAAAGCCCGGCTGCAGCAGCTCTGCGCGCCCGCCGTTGCTGGGATAACTAGAAGTCCCATGCTGCCGAGGCAATGGGACTTCTGAGTAGTCCTGCGGAACGCTAGTCCACTGGGTCTACTCTGGAGTAGGACTGGCATAGTAGCCAACTGCTGGGGGGGCAGCTGACCCCCAAAGCAAGTAAATAAATAAAAATACTTAAGTAACTGGCCAATTGCGCTGCAGATAACTCGGTTCTTTCCCCTCCGCCAGCATAAAGCCTGCTCTCTCCATGGGCCGAGGCCCCTTGCTCCCCCCCATAAAATATTTGAGGGGGCTGGGTTCCCCCCAAAATTGATGAGCATTGCCATTCAAACGGTGCGTGTGTCGTGATCATTTTTGTGCCCCCCCTCCATATTTTATTCAAGTCAGCATTCTTACTTAGGACTCTGCATCTAGCTCAGTCTTGTTCAAACCGGCTGGCAGCAGTTCTTCAGAGTTTCAGAGGTGTGTGTGGGGGGGGGTATTCCCAGCCCTACTTTTGTTGCTGGGGGTCGCATCTGGGCCTTTGTCCGTGCAAAGCAGGTGCTCCGCTGCTGAGCGAGGGCCCTGTCCAGTTCAAATGTTCCAGGAAGGTCTCCATTTCCAAATTCAGGAAGAGCGGTTGATTCAAATGTTAAGGGCAATTGTCAGCGGACTTTGGGCAAAGAGAACCGAGGATCCCCGAGTCCGTTTCGCCTCCTCCTTAATAGGAAGTTTAGCGTAGGCTCTGCGGGTTCTGGGCTCCCCAATTCCTTTCCACGTCTTTCTTTCTCTCTTGATTTGTGTGTGCAGGGGTGCAAACTTGAATAAAACATTGGGGGGAGGGAGATAAGCTCCGCTCCACATAATCAATCATATGATTGGGTACACCCACAGTATTTGAATGGCAATGCCCATCAACTTGGGGGGGGGTGCAGCCTCTAAAATATTCCATGGGGGGTGGGGGACGAAGACCCCTCTGCCCCTAGGAGTTTGCTCCTGTGTGTGCGTGTAGATTCCAGATCAGCTCTTCTTACACCTGTCATTCATTCATTCATTCATTCATTCATTCATTTCCCCCCCGTGAACTAAATAGTGCTCCCCGCGACATTATGCTCCTTAAGGATAAGATGTCCCTTCCATGTGACACCTACCACCACCCACTCACGTCCGCCTGCAGTCGTTTCTTCTGTCTAAAGAAGAAAAGAAAGTTTCCGGTTTTCTGCACACACGCGCGCTTGCGCCCAGGCGTACACTCCGCGCCGCCTCCCTCCCTTTCCTTTCCTCCCCGAGGCAGAGAGCCGTCGAGCCGAGTAGCGGAAAAGGCAGCCCTCTTCTAACCAGGTCGGTAGGTGATGGGCCTGTGCGCGGGGCCGGGGCGAGTCTCTTTTCTCTTAACTTGAAAATCTCTAGCTGCTAATTGCTTCAACTACTTTCTTCCTTTCTGAACTTTTATCCGGGATGGGAGGTGGGGAGAAGTCTTGTTCAAAACGATGGGGATTTCCGAGCAAACATTCGAGCAGGGTGTCCTTTAAGAGGAATGCCATTTAAGAAGAGAATTTTTTTTTAAAAAAAAAAAGTTTCGTGCATTTGACGCCAATTGGTTTATGTTCATTTCTTTTATTAACTCTCACCCAGAGGAACCTACATCCCCTGTAATATTTGTGGCTTAACTGAACATGCTGCTATAATCTTCTGCCTTAAACACATCGTGGTTGTATTTTGCTTTGTATCTGGTGATCAGTACCCATTGTTTGTGTTGTTTCGTGTTACTCTGAACGAAAACGATATTGTTTTTAGAATTGCATAATATTATTTAAGAGATTTGCACTTTCTGCTGAAACTTGCAATTTCTCACAATACAGTAATGAGCAGCCTTTCGTGTAATGAAAGTTAGCGGTGGTTACTTCAAAGATGTGGTAATAAGGTGGGGAATTCCAAACTCCACTTACCTGCTCAATTCCTTGAGTAACCTTGGCCCAGTCACTGTCTCTCACTTTCAGCCCCGCCAACCTCAGAGTCGGTTGCCAAAGTTCAGTAGGTAGGGAATTTGCACTGAACTCCATGGAATAACTTAGGGTGGGAAAGCAATATATGAACATCTGGACAATTTGTGAGGTTGCTGTGAAGGTTTTATTATTGGTTTTTTATTGTTTGTTGCAGTTTTGAAAGGGGGGGGAGCTACCCTTAACCAAGACTTAGGAGCAACAGGGGCAACCTCACAAGTGATGGCCATCTGTCATGGACGCTTTTTAGCCACGATTCCTGCATTGCAGGGGGTTGGACTAGATGACCCTTGGGTCCCTTCCAACTCTAAGATTCTTCGATTCTGCTCTTGGTTAACTGAGGAGGCCAGTTAACCATGCGGGCTTTCTATGCCTTAGCTGTTTGTGACAAGCAGATCTTCAACAGGTTCAGCTTCCTCACCTGTTGATTGGGTGTCTTCCTAACCCAAGGAAATGATGGACCAGTTGTAAAAAAGAAGACAAGCCTATTATTCTGCCTGCTTTAAATATGCTGCTAGGTGCACCATTGCCAAAAGCAGCTGCTGCCCATTCCTTCTTGCAAATGGTTAATCATGATGTCTCTGTGTTATCTGAAAGTAGAGTGGTACCTCGGGTTACAGACGCTTCAGGTTACAGACTCTACTAACCCAGAAATAGTACCTTGGGTTAAGAACCTTGCTTCAGGATGAGAACAGAAATCGCTCGGCAGTGGCGCAGTGGCAGCAGGAGGCCCCATTAGCTAAAGTGGTGCTTCAGGTTAAGAACAGTTTCAGGTTAAGAACAGACCTCCGGAACAAATTAAGTTCTTAACCTGGGGTACCACTGTACTTGCCCCTGAGGAAGCTTGAAGGATCGCAGCACAGCAAGATGTCTGATACTGAGTCAGAGTGTTGGCCAATTAGCTTTGTATCATCTACACTGGCTCTCAGATTTGTCATCGCACAACCCCTGTGAGAGTGTTTGGCTGAGAATGAGTGACTGGTCAGATTTACATTGTGGGTTCGTTGCTGAGTGGGGATTTGAGTCTGACACTCTGAACACACCAGTATCTGATGGGCTCTGCTGGCTTGTCCCCCCAGCCCTGGCCTCACCATTTCTTTGTGTTTCCCCAAAACCACACGGGTAGGCTGGGTCATAGGCCAACACTCTGACCACTATGCAACAGTTCAGTTTTACAAAGTATACCAGGAAGATCTGGAGCGTTTTGTATTGACTATCTTTTGGCTGACCAATTTCCTGAGATTACTGCAAAGGTAGCTTGTTTTTGTGCGGCAGCAGTTGCTTGTCGGCGTAGGATCCTGTCTTAGTTTTAAAATTACCTTACGTTTTTTACCATTTAAATATAATTGTTCTATATTTCTCATTTTAAAAAGAAAATATTTTACATTGTTTTTAACTCTACATTTAATAGCATGCTTAACATATTATATTGTGTTTTATGTGCTCTGGTTTTTTCCTATCTTCTTTACTGGTTATTGACTGAAATAGATAGATGATAGAGATAGATGATAGATAGATAGATAGATAGATAGATAGATAGATAGATAGATAGATAGATATAGATATACATTTCTAAAGAAACATTTTTTCAATTCTTTAATTTTGCAAGATTAAAATGGTTAACCAATTAATGATGAAAGACAAAAAGCAAAACCCACACTGACCCATCTCAAATCACTGCTGATAACGTGTCAATGGTGGATTTGCTAAATAAATACTCTGTGTTTCTGAACCGCTAGAATAGCACCCTCTCAAGTAGCAGGGCATTGACCCACTTGGCAGGTCAGTATCTGCCCATAACAGCCTAAGAAGATGAGCCCCGCTGGACCAGATCAGTGACCCATGTGGTCTAGCATCCTCTTATCCCAGCAAGCAGCCAGATGTTTGTGGGAAGCCCACATGCAAGACGGGAATGCAACACCCCAACTCCCCACTGGTGCTCCCCAGCAACTCATCTTCCTCAGCAATGAGCTGAGTTGGCCATCAATGAGTTGGCCATCAATGAGGTTAAGGTGAAATCAGAATCATAGGATACCTGATTTTGGATCCAATATCTGGAAAGTGTTTGTGTGTTTGTGCGTTGGTGGCGTCAGTTCACAAGCCAGTTCCTTTATCTGGCTTCATTTTGTTTCTGTTTCAGGTGACCTAAGACCAGAAACCAGAATTGCCCCTGGAGTGCAATTTTTCTCAAAAATGTCTGTGTGTGAAAGAGCTCACATGGCAGCCGAAGACGATCATGACCAGGTGGGGTCTCTCTTTGTCTCCAATGGACCCACTGCAGGAAGGCAAAGAGCAGGTAACTGTGGCCTCCCTATTAGGCAGTAAGGCATTTGGAGCAGAGATGAGGAACTGGTGGCCTTCCAGATGTTGTCCTTCCAGCCCATTGGCCATGCTGGCTGGGGATGCTGGCAGTGGCAGTCTAACAACATCTAAAGGGGCACAGATTCTCCATCCCTGATTTGGAGCAACCAGCAGCTGCCTGTGCGAAAAGATTCTGCTCTAGGAAATAGCAGCTGGATTTAGGAGTACAGTGGTACTTATTTTTCTGATATCAGTCCTAACCCTGGAGAGCTGCAGCCAGTAGACCATTCTCAGCTGGGTGGGATTGACTCAGTATAAAGCAGATTTCCAAGTTCTGCTGGCACTGGAGGCAGCTGGAGACTTGGGAGCGTAGCAATCTGCCTTCTACAAGCATTGGCCATTAGTTCAGTGTTGCTACACCTCGGTTGCAAAGAAAGCCATTATAGCAGAACTGCTGGTCAGACTCTTGCATATAAGCATTAGGCCAATTAAGCTCAAATAACAGTCAGCTACAGTATTTGGGCCTGTAATAGAAACCATCATAACACAACGCAGTCGTAAACCACACACTATTCATTGGATTAAGGTGGTGATAGAGCGGATTGAGTTACCGTATTTTTTGCTCTATAAGACTCACCTTTTCCCTCCTAAAAAGTAAGGGGAAATGTGTGTGCGCCTTATGGAGCGAATGCAGGCTGCGCAGCTATCCCAGAATCCAGAACAGCAAGAGGGATTGCTGCTTTCACTGCACAGCGATCCCTCTTGCTGTTCTGGCTTCCGAGATTCAGAATATTTTTTTTCTTGTTTTCCTCCTCCAAAAACTAGGTGCGTCTTGTGGTCTGGTGCATCTTATAGAGCGAAAAATACGGTACCATCCAAACCCTCAATGGCAAAAAATAACTGGCATCTTACGGTGAGCAAATTACAAGCTTTCCAACAAGTATAAACCTCCATGCTCCAGCTACTCACTAAACTTTTCCAGCTCAAGGAACAGGGCACCTGCGGCGCTGGGGTGCAAAGATCTGCCTAGTGCCCCTAGGTTGCCCAGAGCTGTCAACCTTTTTTTAGGGGGGGACCCCAAAGTTGTTCACCTTTTTAAGGAAATGGTTGTTTACCTTTAGAACGATTGCGGGACACAGGGACTCACAGCGCCAACCAATGGGGGTGCCAGCGCCCCACACACAGGGGCATACGAAGGTGGGTGCAGGTTCCATGCTGGAGGGGGACAAAATGTTGGGCGTCACAGTCACCGCACTGTCCACCCGCTGCCTCTCCCCCCCCCCCCCCCCCGCTGCATGGTGGCTAACTGTTGATTTCTGAACTTTGAATTTTATTGTTATTCATGTTTTTATACTGTTTTTTAATGCTGCTTTTACAATTAAGTGTTTTAAATTTGTTGTTAGTTGCCCTGAGCCCAGTTTTTGAACTGGGAAGGGTGGGGTATAAATAAAATATGATGATGATGATGATGATGATGATGATGATGATGATGATGGGAAAATTTAGTGAGTAGCTGGAGAAGGAGGTGGATGTGTCTACAGTAAAAATGTGTTAATACTTGTGGGAAAGCTTGCATTTTGCTCACCATAAGATGCCAGTTTTTGCTCCTGGTAAGTTTCCCCTTATGTTTCCGTCTTAAAATAATAATACAGCACTCTTCATTAAAAGTAACAGGAAATGTTGTATTTGACTGCTTCCGTGATGTTACACTCCACCATCAGCAGCCTCTGCCCCCTGCTGCCCCCCCACCCCCGGGCATGTGAGCACCTGTCTGTCAGCGTCAGGGACTGGGTGAGCATGGAGGGCTCCCTCAGTGCGCTCACGCACTGCCAATGTAGAACATGAAGCAAAAATGATTCCCCCGCCCCCCTTGTAGATGCACTTGATTTCTTTTTAAAGGGGCCAGCCATAGCAAGCCTGCCAATTGGACTATGCCTTAAGCAGCAAAATGTCTTGGGCTGACACAGTGACCCTGACTCTGGTGGCTGGGTGTCCTACTTGGCAGAGTACAGTCCTTCGTAAAGGCTGCTGTTCATTTGGGAGGGTTGGGTTAAAGACAAGACTAGAAAAATTTGAAACTCTTGCCATTTCCCCACCCTTTGAGGGAGAGACAGTAGGCAGACGAAAGTCCCGCGCTGCCATTTCAGGCAGCACGGAACCTGCAGGCGTCTAAGCCACCACGTCACTCCTAAAAAGTTCCCTGAGCTCAATTTTTTTAAAAAACTCATTTTGTCACCCTCCCCCCCCAGTGATGACACCCAGGGTGGACCGCACCCCCTGCACCCGCCCTTCTCCGCAGACCATCTTCATCATCATCCTCATTGTCATTATTGTCATCCTCATTATTCTCCTTGGCACTGGAGCTGGTAAGTAGTCCAACTGTCCATGCTGCTGCCTTGATACATTTTTCCTTTGACCTCCCCCCCCCATTCCCTTAGCCAGGTATCTTCCACTACTAGGTCTGAATTACAGATTTGGCCCTTCCCTGGATTTCAGCCATTGCCACAGCCTTGCTGCCTGCCAGTCTCTGTGCTGCGGCCAGCCTGCCACCAGCTTTCCATAGTGCAGCTATGAGATGGTACCCAGTATCAATACATGACTGAAGCTTCCTATTATTACAAGTTTTGGGTGGGTGGGTGGGAAGCAAGACCTCCTCAAACCCTTAGACTTGGTAAAAGTTAGAAAATCAAATTTAGTTGAAAACTGAACCCTGTGGGCTCAGCAGGGATAGTGGAGATCAGCCATTACGGAACAAAAATGAGTCACTGAGACAAAGGGAGTGGCTCTGACCACAGAGCACAGAGAAGAAGGTTGCTGGGGTAACCAGGCATGATGTCAGAGAAGAATTGTAGGGAAGATGGAGCAAGCAGACACAAAGAGGAAAGTCCTCTGCAAGGGCTGCTGGGAAGGAGGAGGAGGAGGAGGTTTCGACTTGATATTCCTCCTTTCACTCCCCTTAAGGAGTCTCAAAGTGGCTAACAATCTCCTTTCACAGAATGCCGCTGCAAGGCTCCTTACGGGGTCCTTGTCATGGGATCACATTCATCCAGTGCTTTACCAACTGCACTGGCTCCCGGTGGAGTACAGGGTCAGCTGTAAGGTGCTGGTTTTGACCTTTAAAGTCCTGTGCGACCTAGGACCCACATACCTACGGGACCGCCTCTCCTGGTATGCCCCGCGGAGGACCTTAAGGTCCACAAATGACAACATTTTGGAGGTCCTGGGTCTCAAGGTGGTTAGATTGGTCTCAACTAGGGCCAGGGCCTTTTCAGTACTGGCCCTGACTTGGTGGAACACTCTTGTCACAAGAAACTAGGGCCCTACAGGACTTGACATCTTTCCGCAGGGCCTGCAAGACAGAGCTGTTCTGCCTGCCCTTTGGTTTGGACTCAGTCTGACCCTTATGTTTCCCTCCCCTTATGGTCTTGATTTATCGGCTACTTTTAAAATGAGGCTGCATTTTAAATTGCATTTTAACCTGCATTTTAAATTTTTGTTTGTTTGTTTTCGTTTTGTTTTCTTTTTTCTTTTTTCCCTATTATGTTTTTACTGAGATTTTATTGGTGTTAGCCGCCCTGAGCCCTGCTCTGGCTGAGGAGGGCGGGGTATAAATAAAAAAAATTTTTTTTATTATTATTTTCCCTTTCTCCCACACAACTAACACTCTGTGAGGTGAGTGAGGCTGAGAGACTTCAGAGAAGTGTGACTAGCCCAAGGTCACCCAGCAGCTGCATGTGGAGGAGCTGGGAAGCGAACCTAGTTCACCAGATTACGAGTCCACTGCTCTTAACCACTACACCACGCTGGCTCTCACGCTGGAGGAGGAGAAAGGCAGAATCTTCTGGGCTGGTGGGCTGGCTGCTTGAAAGCAGTTTGGGAGAGATACCTTGGCCTCCAGAGCTGCCCTGCTGTGGGGGACAAGCCTCTCTTGAGATAGCCATGCTGTAAGATCCAGACTCCCTCCATCCAAACTCAGCTGTAAAGATGTGAATAAAACATACTTCTTAAAGCCACTATGGCCTCTGCTGCACCTTCATTTCCCCAGACCCTGGAAGAAGGCCAAGACCCCTGGAATCTTGTGCACTACTGGGCAGAGATTGGGGTGGCCTCTAACAATATTCCACAAAAGGCAGGAAATGGCTAAGGTCAGAACTGGGTGACTTTCCTTGTGGTAAGTGTTGCTTTGATAGACATGGCAGAAAAACGAATTATGACTTTGGGCCCATGTAGACCACTGTTTTATTCAAGGTGGATTATGCAGCACGTTCTCGACACAATAATAGTGCATCAGTAGTGGGCTTATTCTGCTTCATTCATTCATTTATTCGGCCATGCTTCCCCAATGCTCCCACATTGCCGCAGTAGAAGGAGGTGAGTGGGAGGCAGATTCGTCGGGGGCAGTAGAGGCAGAGAATCCATCCTCAGTCCCCCTGTCAGCCACAAGCTGAGCTTTTGACTAGGAGCTCCTCACCTCCCACACCTGGGTGGCCCCAGAGCATCATCTCCCCTACAAAACAAAACCCCCTAAACAAATAACGGAAACCTCTGAATAGCATGCAAAATTGTGGTTGGGGAAAAATACCTAAAGCAGTGGTTAGAAAAAACAAAGCAGTGGTTGGGAGGCGGGAGGAAATCCCCTAAAATACAGTTTGTAATCTGTCAAGGATTACAGATCTGCTCCAGGCAATCCTTTGTATTGTTACAAAAGTTGGGTGCCAACCCCACCTCCCCTCTCTACTGAGCAGTAGCAAGATCCAAGGGGGGATCCAGGCGCTCACCCAGGGTCTCTGTTCTTTTGGAGAATTGAGACATGGCAGAGACTGTTGTTGTTTAGTTGTTTAGTCGAGTCCGACTCTTTGTGACCCCATGGACCAGAGCACGCCAGGCACTCCTGTCTTCTACTTCTACTGTCTACCGCAGTTTGGTCAGACTCATGCTAGTAGCTTCGAGAACACTGTCCAACCATCTCGTCCTCTGTCGTCCCCTTCTCCTTGTGCCCGCCATCTTTCCCAACGTCAGGGTATTTTCCAGGGAGTCTTCTCTTCTCATGAGGTGGCCAAAGTCTTGGAGCCTCAGCTTCAGGATCTGTCCTTCCAGTGAGCACTCAGGGCTGATTTCCTTCAGAATGGAGAGGTTTGATCTTCTTGCAGTCTATGGGACTCTCAAGGAGTCTCCTCTAGCACCATAATTCAAAAGCATCAATTCTTTGGTGATCAGCCTTCTTTATGGTCCAGCTCTCACTTACAACAGAGACTGTTGTAGCTTTAAGAAATATGGTTGATTCACCTACAGTATTTACACCTTCGGTCTGCATCTAGGGAGTCCAGATCTTACAGCATGGTCATTTCAAGAGGGGGTTGTCCCCCACAGCAGGGCAGCTCCAGAGACTAAGGCATCTCTCCCATCTCTTCAACCACTCTGCCCAAGATGGATGATGATGATGATCATTATTATTATTGTTGTTGTTGTTATTTATTGTTTATACCCCGCCCATCTGGCTGAGTTTCCCCAGCCACTCTGGGCGGCTCCCAATCGAGTGTTAAAAACAATACAGCATTAAATATTAAAAGCTTCCCTAAACAGGGCTGCCTTCAGATGTCTTTTAAAGATAAGATAGCTGCTTATTTCCTTCACATCTGAAGGGAGGGCGTTCCACAGGGCAGGTGCCACTACCGAGAAGGCCCTCTATCTGGTTTCCTGTAACTTAACTTCTCTCAATGAGGGAACTGCCAGAAGGCCCTTGGCACTGGATCTCAGTGTCCGGGCTGAACGATAGGGGTCTTTCTTTCTCCTCCTCCTCCTTCCCACAACACTTTACTAAAAGACTCCCATTTCCCGTCAACTCACGCCCAGCTACCCTGACACCATCTGCCTCCCCAGGCCAAAGGACCCCTTTTGTCGTATTAACAGATTTGCTCTTTGCTAGGCCAGCCAGGCTGCTTTCTATAAGCCAGCCCAGGGATTCCTTGTCTGGGCACAGTTCTGCAGCATGTACTTTCACCCATATCCCAATTAATCAATTGATTAATCACAATCTAGGTTTTAGGTGGGTCCCCCCCCAAAAAAAAATACTATAATGCCATGTTTACTCAGGAATAAGTCCCACCATGTTCAATACAGTGGTACCTCGGGTTACATACGCTTCAGGTTACATACGCTTCAGGTTACAGACTCCGCTAACCCAGAAATACTACCTCAGGTTAAGAACTTTACCTCAGGATGAGAACAGAAATCATGCGGCGGCGGCAGCAGGAGACCCCATTAGCTAAAGTGGTGCTTCAGGTTAAGAACAGTTTCAGGTTAAGAACGGACCTCCGGAACGAATGAAGTACGTAACCAGAGGTACCACTGTGCAGGATTCAATTCAAGGCACAGGGAACACATTTCTGTATGAAGGGTGTGCCAGCTGCCTTGAATGGTGTGGCCACTCCTCAAAAATACTCACCCTGGTGGCATTTAGCAAACACTGTCCTGTTGCAAATGCCCCTCCCCCGGGGCAAGGTGCCTGAGAGGGCTGGGTGACACAGCTGCAGGCATTCCTGGAGGAAGCTAACTGGGCGAGGCTGGGACATGAAGAGCACCCTCCATGACCCCCCCTGCTGGCCCCCCTCAATGTGTTGGGGGGCGTCAGCCCCCTGAGCCTCAGGGTCCCTTTCAACTCTGTGATTCTAAGATTCTCTGATTCTGCCCATGGTACTAAAAAAGAGGAGGTTGGATAAGACAGCATCTAACTCTGTGTGTTTTTCTCCGGCCAGTCTGTTCTTGTAAGGCGCATGCATGTCCATCTGGTTGGAAAGCCTACGAGCAGAAATGCTACTACTTTTCAGATGTGGAAAAGAACTGGACCCTCAGCCAGAGCTTCTGTGCTTCACAGAAGGCCTCCTTGGCTGTGTTGGAAAGCGAGGACGAAATGGTGAGAAATGCCAGTATTTTGGCTGCTGAACATGAATGTCCTTTGCGATAGTGATAAAGATGCTCAGCCATTAGGGGCTTGATGGACTTTATAATAAAGTCTTTATCGGGCATAGGCAAACTCAGCTCTCCAGATGTTTTGGGACTACAACTCCCATGATCCCTAGCTAACAGGACCAGCAGTCAGGGATGATGGGAATTGTAGTCCCCAAAACGTCTAGAGGGCTGAGTTTGCCTATGCCTGGTCTTTATTATAATATAAAGCCTCTTAGAATTTTACCCACAAAACACGAATACATCATACAGATATTGGCAAAAGAGGTTTGCAATGCAATCCTAGCCATGCCTATGCATAAGTAAGTCCTATTGAATTAAGTGGGGCTTTCTGCCAGGTAATAAAACTATGTTTGAAAAGCTAAGTTTCAAAGTGGATTGGGACCATGTGTTGAGGTTTCTGCATTTCGGACTAGATGGCCCTTGGGCTCCCTTCCAGCTCTACGACTCTATGATGCATTACCCACATTATGAATGTCTTTGAAATACTGTTACAAGGTAAGTAAGGTTAGGATTGCACCTTAAGTTTTATTATTTCTTAAATGGAGATCCTCCAGTCCTAGCCCAAAGAAGGCTGCAGTAGATGGCAGGTCACAGCTGGTAACCTATTTAAGATGGTAGGGGTTCTCTCATTTATTTGAATGCATAATAATAATAATAATAATAATAATAATAATAATAATAATTTATTTATACCCCACCCATCTGGATGGGCTTCCCCAGCCACTTCCAACAAAATATTAAAATACAGTAATGCACCAAACATTAAAAGCTTCCCTAATTTGTTTGCCTGGCACCTTCATTATACACCTTTAGCCACCAGGCAAAAACGTTCCTTTTTAACCAGGCCTTTGGTTGATCTGATTGACATCCTATGCCCTTTTTAAAATGTGTTTTTTTGTGGGAGAGAGAGCTATTGGGTTGTTGTTTATATTTTTATTATGTATTTTGTGGTTTTTCATCTTGATACCTGAGACCCCTGGGTATAGGGCAGTATAGAAAATCAACAAACAAAGGGTGGTATATAAGTGTATTTTAATCCACAATGAAATAACCATGTGCAATATAAAAACAGAAAATTTATATAGAGTCCAAGATATAAATCTCATCGAAGTACTTGCATATGTTCAGCTGCTGCACGGTTTGCCTGTGATTCTAGCAACTCACATCCCTTAACATTCATTTATTCTGATCATTAAAGCACTTTGTGATGGGTCTAAAAGGCAAGAATTCCTTTTGGATCGGTGTCAGCAGAGAGCCAGGACAGTGCAGGAAATGTCTCCATGGAAACAGCTCGGCGTAAGTCCTCTCTTTTCTCTTCTGTCCTTCAGTGGTGAGACCACAAAACCAGATGCCTCCCCCTTGGGTAGTTGCACAGTTTGTGACTGATGCCAGAAGAAGACTGATAGCCTTAGTCCCCCCAGCGGTTTTTAAAAACAAAACAAAAAAGCCACAACCCAATAATAATATTCAAGGGTATGATGCAAACTTTCGCTCAGATTTGCACCTGTAGCTGTGTCCTGTAGGCGCTCACAAAAAACAAGGTGGGGTTAAGTATGTTTCCGAGCACAATTCAAAGTGTTGGTGCTGACTTTTAAAGCCCTAAACTGCCTCGGTCCTGTATACCTGAAGGAGCGTCTCCACCCCCATCGTTCTGCGTGGACACTGAGATCCAGCGCCCAGGGACCTTCTGGAGGTTCCCTCATTGCGAGAAGTAAGGTTACAGGGAACCAGACAGAGGGCCTTCTTGGTAGTGGTGCCCACCCTGTGGAACACCCTCCCTTCAGATGTGAAGGAAATAAGTAGCTATCCTATCTTTAAAAGACATCTGAAGGCAGCCCTGTTTAGGGAAGTTTTTAATATTTAACGCTGTATTGTTTTTAATACTTGAATGGGAGCCGCCCAGAGTGGCTGGGGAAACTCAGCCAGATGGGTGGGGTAGAAATAATAAATTATTATTATATTATAAGTCAGCACCCATAAGCAGATCAGCTGAGCAATATTCAGTAGGCTAGGCAGAATCCATTCTGTTATCCACCAGGCACTAATGTCTCTGTGCTGTCTCTGTTCTTTGTGGGAACTTGGTCTATAAATAAGGGGGCTTTCAGCACCCTGGACAGGTCACTGGGAGCTGATTCTATATCCCACCTGGACTACCCCTCCTAGGCTCCCTTCAGCTAAACGCAAAGGCTTAAAGCAGCAACCCTCTGGCCATGGCCTCTCCATCTAATCTTGCTTATGCTGTAGAGAAGGAGCTGAGAACATCAAACACCTGACTACAGTTCTTTTGGGGAAATGCTATAGTTCCTTTGGGGAATCCAGCTAAGGGGCTGCTGTTTCTGGTGGGACAAGTTTGCCTTGTTTTGGACTCCAGTACTACCAATGTACATAACTGTTATGTGCAAGTGATGGTAAGCCATCTTAGCAGATCAGTGTGTTGGCCAGGATCAGTTCCAGCATAACATTTTGCTTTGGTGTAATTACTTTCTGATGTAAAGCTATGAGAGTGTGAAGGGGTGAGCTCCCGTTGCTCGGTCCCTGCTCCTGCCAACCTGGCAGTTCGAAAGCACGTCAAAGGGCAAGTAGATCAATAGGTACCGCAGCGGCATAGCGTGGGTTGTCAGCACCCGGGGCAAGGCAGGTAATTTGCGCCCCCTAACCCGGGGCAAGGCAAGTAATTTGCGCCCCCTAACCCGGGGCAAGGCAAGTAATTTGCGCCCCCTAACCCCTAACCTGCCGCCGCTGCCAGCTTCTTCTTGCTGCTGCCTGGGCTGGGCTGGTGTGGTTCTCTCCCGCGCTCAGCGCTGCGCAGGGCGGCCGCTGCACTGTCCCTCCCCCAGATAGTCCCTCGCTCTCTCTCCGCACCGCACGCCTGGCACCCACCCCCTCCACAGTGGGCAGCGACCCAGCGGCTCGGATCGGATTCGCACAGCCAGCACTGCAGTGAGAGAGAGTGAGTGAGCCAGGTAGGGGCAGAGAGCTGCGAGTGCGAGCGTGCCCCCCCCCGATGTTGCGCCCGGTGCGGCCGGCCCCCCCTGCACCCCCCACGCTACGCCAATGAGGTACCGCTCTGGTGGGAAGGTAAATGGCGTTTCCGTGCACTGCTCTGGTTCGCCAGAAGCAGCTTAGTCATGCTGATCACATGACCCAGAAGCTGTATGCTGGCTCCCTCGGCCTATAGAGCGAGATGAGCACCGCAACCCCAGAGTTGTCCGCAACTGGACCTAACAGTCAGGGGTACCTTTACCTTTACCTTACATTTCTAGGAAAAATCAGTGGGCAATCTAGATGCTCAAGGATTCTCCCTGCCCATCTGTCTCCTCCCTGAAGGTTCACGGCTTACCAATCTAGAGGAAATCTCCCTGTTAGTAACTGTGTTCTCAGAAGTTTTCTATTTACTGCTGTCAGGGAAATACCAACTCTTGCATAACTCTTGCTTGTCTTGAAGGTTGGATGTCAGTGGAAATGAAGGAAACTGCCCCTCTCTGCATGACGAACCCAAACCCAACTTCTTAAGATGCAGCAATGAACACCACTTCATCTGCGCCAAAACTATGTAAGAGGCTGGAGCAGTGCCTGGTGTGAACCACACAGAGTTGTTGGAGCCAGCCGTTACAAAATGGTGCTGTTTAGCATAAAATAAGGACACAGAGAGCCAGCAATATTTTCATGGATGGAGGGCAGCTCCTTTCCAGCTTCTTCTCTCCTCTCCAGTACCTTTTATTATCCTTTGTTCTCTCTCTAGCCGCATGGCCGTTTGCCAATGTCTCATATTACCTACATCCGGTCATGGCTTAAACCCACCCATCGCCAAATAATGTTATACTGCCCGGGGGGGGGGGGACATAGCTCCATACAAGGCTATGCTCTTAATACATTCCAATACATTGTAAAGCTCAGAGTGCTGGTCAGCCGAGGTCAGGGGGCACCCTGCAATATTACAAGCCTTTACCGTGGCTTTATGACTCCCACACAGAGTGATATTTATATAAACTATTTTCTGATTCATATTCTATAGCCTTTTAAATGTGTTTTCGTTTTTACATTCAGCCCTGTTCTTAAGGGTTCGGGGCCTTACGGAAAGAAAACAGCAGGCGTATCTCAAGCCGTTCTGAGGTGATGAGCTAGTAGTGCCTGTAGTTGCAGCTGCTTCCTGACTCAACTTGCCCATTGAGCAAGTTCTGACCTTTCAACAGTCATATGCAGCAGGGGGTGAAACCTGCAGTTCCCAGAATTGCTATCCTGCACTTGCTAGAACAACTCACATCTGAACCAGTGGCACGCCTTCCGTGGACCAGAGGGACTAGCTTAGTCCCCTGTGTTTCTGGTAAAATTAGACACACAAACATCTGTGCTTCATTTCCAGAAGAAACCCTTCCTCCTCCCTTCACCTTCTTGCTTCTCCCCTCCTCCCTCCTTCGACCTTACTTTCCGGAGCCTCTTCTTTAGCCCGCTCTAGCCAAGTCGGAGGGGCTGCGCTCCTTGCACGGCAGATCCGAGGGCGCATCCTCCTGGTGGCGCAGAGTAGCGGGCGCATACTCAGATGCAGAGGGAAGCGGCTCCTTCAACTGAGTTCCTCTACCACCGGTGCTATTATTCTGCCCTCTGCGTACTTTACAAGGCACAGAGGCGAGGCATGCTCTTTAGCAGGCTGCTTGAGACTACAATTCCCATCATCCCTGACCACTGGTCCTGCTAGCTAGGGATCATGGGAGTTGTAGGCCAAAAACACCTGGAGGGCTGAGTTTGACGAAGCCTGCTCTTTAGCATGGAAAGGGACTTGGTTGAAGGAGCTGCTTCCCTCCACGTCTAACCACGCGCCGCCAGAACTGTTGCTTGCGGCAGTGTGTATTGATTTATCTTTTTTTCCTTTTCCTTTTTTTTTACAAGGGAAACGAATCACGTGAGCATCCCTGAGATCTCCCCTGCCTTCTATGCATTGCTTCCCCCCCCTCGTCTCTCGCACCCCCCAATGCTTTTGCCTCCGCCTCTATTACTGCTTGCTGGGGGCTGCTGTGTGTGTCTCTGTGTGTACTGGTGCCAGCGCCTTCTCTGACCCCAGGCGCAGATTTTTGAGGTGGCGTGCAAAGCAGGCATCCCCATGCGGGCGCCCCGGGAGCCGGGTGCAAGAGACTCGGAGAAAGAGAAAGAGAGCAGAGGAGAATGTCAGAGAGAAAGGGCTCTGCGCAGCTGCCGGGAGGGCGAGGGAGGGACGGAGGGTGGTGCCAAGGGGAAATCAGCACGGTCAAGCCTGCGCGCCGCTTTGCTTTTTGTTTTTAAATCATTTTTATTGATTTTCCAATAAATACAGCCAGTCAACATGTCCACGTCATAATCTATTTAAAAACAACAAACTAAAATAAAAAAGACCAAATTGCAACCCAAATTGTAATTATTAATTTTTCTTAGTCTGGACCTCTGAAGCATATCTCCAAATCTTCAATCCTGCCTCCTCTTGTTGTTTTTCATATTTTCCACATTCCGATCTTAACGCTTTAAAGTTCTCTGTCCCTGGCTGTAATGGTTCTAGGGGTTGCTCGTGCGTAAGTTGTCGCCACACCTGGCTGGGTTACCTGGGTGAACCCTTTCTGTCCGGACAGCCACCCATCCGTGGCTGTCTCAATCGCTGGCAGAATCCGTCAGTGGGCGTTTCTTGAACTTCTTCCAGCAAAGAAGCTCTTTGACGCCTAGCCGCCGCCTACTCTCCCTGCACGGAAGTCTTCTGCGCAGGGAGGGTGTGGGCAGTGGAGTACCCGTGCTCTCCCCGCTGGTCTCCGGTGAAGAGTACTGGAGCCTCCTCTCCGATTCCCCCATCTGCCCCCCTTCTCCACTGGTGCTACGCTGATTTCCTTCCCCAGCAGATGGGCTGCCTCTCTCCCTACTGGGACCCTCTCCAGCATCCCTCTGGAGCCTTCCCTCCGCCTCTGGCTCCAATGGCAGTTCCCTGAAACTGGCTCTACGATTCTCAGTCATGTCAAAAATCATATATCCTTTCGTCCCTCGAATACAGCTTTATTTCTGTACAGTGGTACCTCAGGTTACATACGCTTCAGGTTACAGACTCCACTAAGCCAGAAATATTACCTCAGATTAAGAACTTTGCTTCAGGATGAGAACAGAAATTGTGCGGCGGCAGATCATGCAGCAGGGCTTGCCGATCAGAAGGTCGGCAGTTCAACTCCCCGTGACGGGGTGAGCTCCCATTGCTCGGTCCCTGCTCCTGCCAACCTAGCAGTTCGAAAGCACGTAAAAGTGCAAGTAGATAAATAGGTACCGCTCTGGCAGGAAGGTAAATGGCGTTTCTGTGTGCTGCTCTGGTTCGCCAGAAGCAGCTTAGCCATGCTGGCCACATGACCCGGAAGCTGTACGCCGGCTCCCTCGGCCAGTAAAGTGAGATGAGCACCGCAACCCCAGAATCGGTCATGACTGGACCTTTACCTTTACTGTTGTCCATAGAAGAGGATGGTGAAAGTTGATGCCTCTGAACATGTGCAGAGTGTGGCACCCTCCCAAGTACACTAGTGGCCAAAATTGTGGAAACCTTTTGGGGGAAGTGTATTTCCACGTTTTTTGGAGTAATACCATAAATTACATATCAGTGGAAAGATAATTTAATGAAGAATGTAATGCAACAAAGTTGGTTCAATTATCTGTATTCTATCAGAAGTTATAGCCAAATAACCAGAAAAAGGAGTGTTTATAGAGAGGCAATCAAGTGCCATCTTGTTTTGGCAATGATGGCTCATAACACCACTTTTTCTTTCTTTTTCTTTTTAGTAATACCATAAAATTATACATCAATGGAAAGATAACTGAACCATCAAACCTCGGAAATACACTTTCCCCAAAAGTTTTCCACAATTTTGGCCACTAGTGTAACTTCTGCCTGCTCAAGGCCATTCTAGAGTTAGGGGATAGGAGGGTCTAGGAGTGGGGGATTCCCATGTGTAGGATATCTGTGTGTGTGTGCTTTAAACAAATCAAGTGATTAAGTGCTGGGAAGGTGTGGTCGCTCTGTTCTAATACTTTCCCCTGCCAAATATTGGATGCATTGGATGGTGTAAAAGCATCTCCACTGAACGCCGACTATTGGGCGGATCCTGCAACTATTCTAAAAAAATGCTGGCTACTGGCTACGGTGTAGTTTGCCAAGGCAACTAGCCCTAACTGTTCCCCTCCAAAAAAAAAATGTCGCTGGTCTAAAGAAAATAAAAATGACTGGGTGTTTCACACACAACCTTGCTGTTATTTTTTGTTGTTACCCCACACTTCCTGTCTCAAAAGAGACGCTCAAGATGGCCACTGTAGTGGGACATTTGCAGGCCTTTGGTTCTCAGGAGAACTATGGCTTGTTCTCTCTCATTAGGACAACAACTCAGACATTGTATATACCGGGGTAGCCAACATGGTGCCCTTAAAATGACATGGACTACAACACCCAATTGGCAGGGGTGACTGGAGTTGTCATGTTGGCTTCCCATATGTGCATGTTGGCTACACTATGTTGGCATGCACAGCAATTACCCCACTATCTTCCCTGGTGTTCCAGGCTCTTGCATGTTTCTTATTTCTCAGGTAATTTATTAAACTGGTTTTTTTAAAAAACATCGCATGAGTCACATAATTCAGCCACCAAAAGTATCCCTGGACTCTTCAGTTCTCAAAAACAGCAGGATATTGGTTCTCACCTGGTCTAAATGATGAGGTACCTTAAGCCAGTTTCCTCAGATCTGATGGGGAGGCCTTTCTCTATCTCCCACCTTGGAATGGGTGAATCAGTCAATGTATGTTTCTCTTACTTTCCCATTTTGTCCACTTTAGTTATCCACATTTTCGTCTCAATTTGTGATATTATTATTATTAGTGTCGTAGTTAAGAGTGCTAGACTCGTAATCTGGTGAACCAGGTTCGCGTCTCCTCCACATGCAGCTGCTGGGTGACATTGGGCTAGTCACACTTCTCTGAAGTCTCTCAGCCCCACTTACCTCACAGAGTGTTTGTTGTGGGGAGGAAGGGAAAGAAGAATGTTAGCTGCTTTGAGACTCCTTCAGGTAGTGATAAAGCAGGATATCAAGTCCAAACTCCTCCTCCTCCTCTTCTTCTTCTTCTTCTTCTTCTTCTTCTTCTTCTTCTTCTTCTTCTTCTTTTTATTTTTATTATTATTATTATTATTATTATTATTATTATTATTATTATTATTATTTTATAAACTCCTCATGGAAATGCATCAGCATTGTAGTGGGAATGTCTCATAATATATGCAGTTGAATGCAAATTTCCCCTAATGTATACATTTTTGTAAGGCAAATGTAGCAGACAGAAAGGGTGGGATGCAAATGAGCAGAATCCACTCCTGGTGCCTGTTCAATGTGGGCTGGCTTGCCTGCTTTCTTGCAGGCTGCAGGAAACTGAGCAGACTCACCTACGTAAATGCTCAGCTATGCTAAAGGCATCCACAGTTCTCCTTTTTACTTTCATGACATCATGTATGGCCCTCATATTCAGCAGCAAGGATTTTGTAATGTCATTGCAAAATGGCTGTGTGCTTTTGAAAGAGGGGTGGGAAGCTGAATATTTGTGAGGGAAGGAACTGATGCGTGGGAAACAAAGGCTGGTGCTGTACACACACACACAAACACACACACAAACACACACACACACACACACACACACACACACACACACTGTCATGTATCTACTCAATATTGATCCAGAGCAGAACTCTGACATATAGTTAGTAGAGTAAAAAGTTAAACACGTTGCAGAATTCCCAAAAAGTAGACCAGAGGCAATTAATATTTCATCCAGCAGAGCTTTACTGAAGGCAAATGAGCATAATGGTCACATTCAGGATTGGCACAGTTCATAAGTCTAGTTGCAACAGACTTAACTTAAACTTACAATAACTTATAATAAGTCTAAACCTTAACACTATAGCATGCTATGTACAGAACACCACACCAGAAGAGAGATGGAAAGAGGAAATAAAACCCAGGCCTCCTTCTAGCATGACTTTGATAGCATGACCTTGACAGAAGAGATAACAAAACCAGTTTAAGCCAGTTGTAGTTAGCTTCTCTGAAGGAATATCCCAAACATCATGAGCCAGTGTGGTGTAGTGGTTAAGAGCGGTAGACTCGTAATCTGGTGAACCAGGTTCGCGTCTCTGCTCCTCCACATGCAGCTGCTGGGTGACCTTGGGCTAGTCACACTTAGAATCATAGAATCATAGAGTTGGAAGAGACCACAAGGGCCATCGAGTCCAACCCCCTGCTAAGGAGGAAACACCATCAGAGCACTCCTGACATATGGTTGTCAAGCCTCTGCTTAAAGACTTCCAAAGAAGGAGACTCCACCACACTCCTTGGCAGCAAATTCCACTGTCGAACAGCTCTTACTGTCAGGAAGTTCTTCCTAATGTTTAGGTGGAATCTTCTTTCTTGTAGTTTGGATCCATTGCTCCGTGTCCGCTTCTCTGGAGCAGCAGAAAACAACCTTTCTCCCTCCTCTATGTGACATCCTTTTATATATTTGAACATGGCTATCATATCACCCCTTAACCTCCTCTTCTCCAGGCTAAACATGCCCAGCTCCCTTAGCCGTTCCTCATAAGGCATCGTTTCCAGGCCTTTGACCATTTTGGTTGCCCTCCTCTGGACACGTTCCAGTTTGTCAGTGTCCTTCTTGAACTGTGGTGCCCAGAACTGGACACAGTACTCCAGGTGAGGTCTGACCAGAGCAGAATACAGTGGCACTATTACTTCCCTTGATCTAGATGCTATACTCCTATTGATGCAGCCCAGAATTGCATTGGCTTTTTTAGCTGCTGCGTCACACTGTTGGCTCATGTCAAGTTTGTGGTCAACCAAGACTCCTAGATCCTTTTCACATGTACTGCTCTCAAGCCAGGTGTCACCCATCTTGTATTTGTGCCTCTCAATTTTTTTTGCCCAAGTGCAATACTTTACATTTCTCCCTGTTAAAATTCATCTTGTTTGTTTTGGCCCAGTTCTCTAATCTGTCAAGGTCGTTTTGAAGTGTGATCCTGTCCTCTGGGGTGTTAGCCACCCCTCCCAGTTTGGTGTCATCTGCAAATTTGATCAGGATGCCCTTGAGTCCATCATCCAAGTCGTTGATAAAGATGTTGAATAAGACCGGGCCCAAGACAGAACCCTGTGGCACCCCACTAGTCACTCTTCTCCAGGATGAAGAGGAACCATTGATGAGCACCCTTTGGGTTCTCTGAAGTCTCTCAGCCCCACTCACCTCACAGAGTGTACGTTGTGGGGGAGGAAGGGAAAGGAGATTGTTAGCCACTTTGAGACACCTTAAGGGAGTGATAAAGTGGGATATCAAATCCAAACTCTTCTTCTGCTGCTTGCTTGTTTCTTTCATACAGAGAAGCTTCCAGAACCCTCTTGAATCAATTAGAATAAGAAAGATCGCTACGCATCAGATCAATA